TAATATACATGTATTAATATATAAATAATACATACACTATATATAAATCGTACTGTAATAAATATAAATTTATATTGTAGATAAAAACTAGCGCTTTAATATGGCGTAACATTGCAAACAACTGTAGTTTGACCGCAAAATAATGATAACTATAGCTAATACCACCAATGTTTGCACATTTACTTCTAATTTTCTCGGACATCTGACGTGGTAAGCCGACGAATTCGTTTTTCCGCGATCACAAATCTATCGAAAAACATTTTGTTCATTCAGGATCCTCAAACACTATTCTATTTTTGTAGGACGGTGTAATTGTTATTTCTTCACAAAAATGTATTAAGTACACTCATATTTCACGTAGAAAATTCTTCTTTATGGACCGCGTTTTTATAAGTTTTGACCTGTATGTATGTTTCTATTTGTAACTATATGAAGTTAATTACATCTTGAGTGTCTAGCTGTGTGATGGTGTATGTCACATGATGTAATTTAGCAACGCGCGTTGCAGCTCTATACAAAACGAATACCATAACGTTAGCCTTATATAATAAGTAACTTTTATTGTTTTATATTGACACTGTTAATTTAATCGATATTTGATACTATGGTTAAAATGTATCCCTGAAACAAATATGTCTTTATACCACTCACGTCATGTAAAATTCTTTTCTTCATGCACCAGTTTATTGTGAAAAGCTACAGGTACCTTGCTTTTTTTATATGCATCACACAAATAAGATGTGTCACTTATGATATAAATGATTTACTTCATGTCGTTTTAGTTCACTATGAAATGCATACTTCATGAGACATATCTTGAAAAAAAAAAAATTATGTTTTGTTATTCTTATCAAAAGTAAGTGCTAACGTGTCATTTAATACTGCTCTAGACTGCCAGTATCTAATAATATTGTTACCAATTTACTTTAAAGAAATATTCATTTATTACCTTACACGTAAAACGTTTTTTTTCATGCACGCGTTTTTTGTGCACATATAAATTTGATTTTACCTTAAAAGTTACATTACACTTTTCACACAAATAAGGTTTCTCGGTTACATGAATCATGTTATGTCTGTTAAGAAAGTATGCCGTAGAAAATGTCTTGTAGCATATCTTAAAAAAATATATTTTTGTAATTGTCAATATTCTAAGTCTTCTTAGAATATTTTGTTTTCATACTGCTAATATAAATCAATATAATGTTTTATTAATGTAAATAGATTTCGCTGAATACACATTCGCGTTTTCATGTATTACCATACATATAAATTTTCTTTCTTCGTGAATGTTCTTGATGTGGTTTTTAAAAGTTCGCGTGGTTTTGAAGTATCTTTTACATTTATGACAGAGATATCCTTCGCTTAAGTGAACTAAAGTATGATTTTTTAAGTGAGTTAAGCTCCTGAATTTCGCGGTACATATCTTGAAAAAAATAAATAATATCTTACTCTCACTATCTTCACTAAACTTGGTAACGTTCTCTTTTTATATTTTGCTACTGTCGAGTAATATAATGTATTTACTAATAGTCTAAAATATTGTTTTTTTTTTACAACATAAATGTTTCTTCATCTCTTACCTTACATATAAATTCTTCTTCTTTATACTTATGCATGTACAGTTTATGCATTTGTAAATAACTTATGCTGGTAAATGATTCGTTACATTCATCACATATTAAAATACGTGTTTCATCATGTTGTAAAACATCTTGTGTACTTGTCGAGGGTAGTGAATTCATCTTGAACAGATACTTTATTTTGTTAATGTTTGTATGTAACAGATATAATAAGATGCTTTTTTACTTTTTACCTTACATATAAAATCTTCTTCTTTATAATTATGCATAAGCTGTTTGTGCATTTGTAAATGACTTATGCTGTAACATGATTCGTTACATTCATCACATAGAAAAGTATATGTTTCATCATGTTGTAAAACATCTTGTGTACTTGTCGAGGGTAGTGAATTCATCTTCAACAGATACTTTATTTTGTTAATATTTGTATGTAACAGATATAATAAGGTGCTTCTTTACTTCTTACCTTACATATAAAATCTTCTTTATACATATGCATATGCTGTTTGTGCATTTGTAAATGACTTATGCTGTTAAATGATTCGTTACATTCATCACATAATAAAATACATGTTTCGTCATGTTGTAAAGCATCTTGTGTACTTGTCGAGGAGAGTGAATTTATCTTAAACAGATAATTTATTTTGTTAATGTTTGTATGTAACATGTGTAATACGGTACTATTATGAATTAATAACTTAGGAGTAATGAGATAAACTTTTTTTTTACTTTTTCTTTTACAACGTTCTTTACGTTCAAACTATTTACTGTACACTGATTTATTTTATCTTGTTTCGATAGAAGTGTGATCTTGTTAAACTTGCAGCAGATATTTGATATATTTTTTAAGACTTGTAAAAGTTTTGCTTCCAACTTACAAATACTTGTGTTATCAATTCAGGTGTAGTTATATTGTCGCTTTGCATTATGGAAATTATATGTTAAAAGTAATAAAGTAGCAAGTAGTATAGATATTCGAATTTTGAAGATAAAATAGTAGAAAAGAAGTGATCTGTTTGTAAAGAAAGTACAATAACGTTTTAGTATTTTAGATAAAGATAATTAGTATTAAGACAAATCATTTTTTTAAGTATAAGTAATCATAAAACTTACGTAAATTCAAAGAAGAAGTGAGCTAGATATATCTATTTGGCAGCAAATTTGTACAAAAACAAGTCACTAGTTTCACAGTAAAATTGTGTAAAATACTGTGAAAAATGATCGTTTAATAGATAAGTAACGGTCGACGGTTATCCAAGGAGATACAAAGAAAGACTGTAGAGGTAGCAATACTGCTATTGTATGAAGCGCAACAATAAACACATATTGGCTTTTAAGGACGTATGTGTGTATGTTTTGAGATTGTTTTGTATATTTTTATATTATTCATAGTACATTATATCGGTAGAAGAATATGTTGGTATGCATGTATAACTTTTGAGTCGTAATTATTATGTTTCTTCGCAGAAAGTGTGCGTAGAAGGCATTTTTATGTAAAGGAGAAATCTTATGTAAAAACCTAGCATTTACACCTGGTAACGTAACGACATTTACGTTTGATACATTTCATATGTTATATGTTTTCATCTGTTTCATATGTTTGAAATTTTCATATGTTATATCCAGTGTTGCGCTTAGATAATTTGAAATAATCTAGATACAGATTAGATAAAACATATACGTATGTATATGTACGTATGTGTATGTGTATGTATCTCAGATAAGATAAAGATAATCCGATTTGATCATATCTAGATAAAAGATGATTTAGTTGAGATTTTTATCTAGATAATTTTAAGTTATTAAAGAAGTTAGGAAATTAAATACTACATTTCAAGAAAATCTATAGAAAATAAGCGTATATTTTGATATACATTATATTTAATATAATATACATTTGAGTATCATAAGCATATTATAAGTATATAATAAGTAAGGTACATTTATTCTATATATAAGGTTAATATGTAAATATATTATAAGGTTTTTGTTTTTAAAAACGATAGTTTTCCAAATGTGCTATCGGATAAACGATTTCTTTGAGGTACAATTATTTGTTATCTTGTACTGAAAAGTCACATTCAGAGTGCGTACTGATTATCTTAGATAATTTACAAAAGATACTACTTTTCTTATATCTGAGATACAGATAAAGATGTCATATATTTTAATTATTTAGATAAAGACAAAATAAAATAATTATGACATCTAGATGAACATCTAGATAATTTTATCTAGATAACGGAAAACACTGGTTATATCAAGTAAGAATTGTAAACGTAATACATTTTAGCATTTTATAATGTTTCTATGTAATTTTATTTTCATATGTGTGTTTGTGTGCGTATGTGTAATTATAAATACAAAATGATAATTATATTTTCAGTAAGTTTTTCTCTTTTTTGACTTCTTAAAAAATGTGTGTGTTAATATTGATATTAGTTTATCGATAGTTTCGATTTTCCGAAATCATTGGTGCTTCTTTTTCGCGCCGCTTACTTTGTATATTTGATATATATCGTATTATGTCGATTCGATAAGGCAAGATGTAAAATATTGCGCGTAAAATATACTTGCAATAGCGCCGGATAGTCGCGCGACACGTAGTAGAACTACGTGCAAATTGTCGCGCATTTCTTGCGATTGATCGATGTACGGTACGCGTGCGCCGCAAAGAATCTTACATTTGTAATAATACACATAAGTAATATTTCTCGCTAATAAAGGTAATCAACGACTTCACGCTGAAATCGTATCGCGGCTGTTTGTTCTTCCGCGAGACGCAAAAAAACAAAATAGTCGATTTGCAACGCAGAGGTGAACTAAGTGTCTGGTATTTATCGCGTGACAGTAACGCGTTTAAGAGACAGTATATACAGAATGGCATAGCTACGTATGCATAAGATGACAATTTCTCAACCAATAAACATCTACTATTTTATTTAAGTTATAATTTCTCTGATGTTTTTAATTAGAGTTTATTTGTCTGTACATATATATATATATATATATATATATATATTTCAACTAAAGAAAAGCGATGTATAAATGTCAGTAAATTGTTATATTAAAACATTAAATAGATTAGTATTCTTCTTTTATCTCTTTCTCTCTTTTTGTTGCTTTCTCGACTAAATATAATAACATACGAGCTCCATCAAATATATATATATATATATATATATATATATATATATATATGTATAGGCATACAATTTAAAAATATCTTGCTTGGCAGCTGTGCAAAAGACAGTCAACATCCACATCTCGCGGCGAACGCATCGCGTCTATCGTTTGAATTTGTATCCCGCACGTATACATCACGCATGTGTAATATCGATCTGAGCGGCGGATGGACATGCGTTTAGAGCATTTAACTTCGTTGCGACAGGTGCCCTCTGTGGGATGTTCCGTTCGAGATGGATCGTCGGCGTGAGGACTATGTTGGTCGTGATAAATAATGTGACATTACTACGCGACTCGTAGCCACGACTCGTAATCACGAACGCAAAATCATGTGCCGCGCGCACGTTCGCTGATAGAACAACGAAACCGCGAGAGCAGTCTAGTGTCTGGAACATGTGCCTTTACTACAAGTGAGTACAAAAACGGTAGAGAAATAATAATTATCTCGAAGCACGAAATATACAAACCTTTGCGAAATGTGTAACACACACGTACAGAGATGTGTTAAAAAAAAAAAAAAAACAAATCATAATTTATCGGTAATTTAGCGAAGATATGTGCGGCGTTAATTTGCACTTGCTTTGATTGCATCTTGATTTGACTTGTGTCAGACAACCGTTTACAAAGTTCATTGGCTTGATATATATGTATATATATATACATATATATATATATATATTTAGCAGCCGATTAAATAATACGACGGCATCCCACGCGAAGATGTAATGGATGGCTTGTTAGTGGCCGATTAAATAATATAACACAACATCCCACGCTAAAATGTAATGGATGACTTGTTATGTTAGGTGGCTATTTTCAAGCTAGGAAATGTTTTTTTGTAATGTATGGAAATATGTTGATATTTTTTATTGAAAACATTTTTTCGCACCTTCCGGCGTGCGAGGTTCTTTAAATGAAAAAAATTGATTATGTGTACGTACAATATAGATGTATATAACACAACGCTAATTATAGAAATATTGATTGATATTAAGAACTTGAAGCAACACCTCTGATTAAATTTTCTCATTTTTATCTCTTTTTTGTTATTCGTATTTTTTTTTATATATATATATAAAATTTGTAACGATGTAAAGTTTGTGGTTTATAACACTTTGTGCGTGTGGAATCAGAATATCCGAATCAATACTAATCTTTTATGCATCATATAATTTGTACTGTTGTTGTACACACGCACACACACGCACACATTTACACATGTGGCGCACAAATATTTAATCGGTTTTTCTGAAAATAAATGTAATGCAAAATTTATTCTTCTCGATTACAATATTATTAACGCACAAACTGAACAAAACGGCATTAACCCTTTTTTTTGTTATCTGTATATATGCGAGCAATTTATTTTATTCATTGCACATCCCGACGTTTTATCACAAAAGCATCGTTTTTGTTGTTGTATTGGTGCTACTAATGGAACCGCTTCTATCTGATTGTTAATTATATTCGCGCGAAGCGCAAATGTATCTCCTTATCGAGATGAAAAACTTGTTTCTTCTTAGTCGCGATAGCAATCGCATAATAATGTTTGCGTTCATTCGTAGATAGTAGAAACGGATAAATACGCGAATCGATAACTCTTTTATACACGTCGGGGCTTTTACATACACGTCAGCGTTCGGAATTCTCGCCGATGCCTACACATCGCCCGACACATTTCTGTTCCCCCAACGTGTAGTGAGGAAAAAAAAAATTATCACACTTAAAACTCCATTACAACGCCTTTGTCGACGATTAATCGCGATTCCAGAGTGCCGCTCGGCTCAAAATAATATCGAAACGCGAAAGTGTGCACGAAAGTAAAGTGATAATTGATGCGCGAAAATATTATTAATGGACACACACACACGCGCGCGCGCGCGCGCGATTCCTTTAATTTCGCGGCAGCGCTTCGAACGATAAAAAAAAAAAAAACAAACGATTTGTTTGCGATCAGATCGGGCAGCTGATGAGTGACGATGACCGATTCGCAAAACAAATAAAACGAACCCTAAGCGACTCGTTTTTTGCCCCGTTGATTGTAAGAAAAAAGAATAATTAATGCGCCTCGGTCTGTGAGATCGATCGTGCGGATAGAACACGCTCGTCAAAACCCGCGACGGTCAATGCCAAGGCCTGTGTGTCTTGAACTTTTAGAAACTTCATGTTAGTTCGCGACCTTAAGGATACGTTTCCCCACCTGTGGAAAAGTTAGTTCGATTCGGCATGTATTATTGAGAAACGCGTGCACACACACGTGAACGTTTTAAAAAAAATCGAAGGTTGCACGGGCGCGCAACCTTCTGTCTCGTTATCTTCTTCTTCGATAAATATAACGTCTCGTGACCGCGAAAAATAGAATGCAATCTTTCGCGGGGGGGGAGGGAGGAAAAGAGAATACAATATCAATCTTCATAATATCTACGACAAATCATGACAATTTGATGGCATTAAAACCTGACGGGTAATAATGCATTTGTCGATGACGCGCTCCGACGGTTCGGTATATCCGTCAGAGAATCTCGTGCGTATGTAAAACACATTTCGTTCTGCGCGCGACCCGCGACGGGCATAGGTGAAAGAGAACGTCGTTGTATAGACGCGGCGAGAAACTTTCATTCGACAACGTGTTACAACAGTTTAAATACGTAATAGAGACGTCTCTACTTATACACGGTCGTCTACGACAGGCGCTACTTGTGACAGTTACACGACCGACCGCCACCTCAAACGAGAGAGATATTCCAATTTTACTTAAGTGCTTGAAGTATTGTACTTGCAATTCGAAAAAAAAAAAATGTTGATTTTAATAATCACCGTTCACGTCGATTAAATTTATGTAAACATATAAAGACACACGCGTGGGATTTATCCAATTGCTGTAATTGTGCGGTAACGGACCCTTGAATGTTAATCGATAGTTCTATATAAACGTAAGTAGAGAGTCAAGTCATCGTTTCAAATAGCTACGTTAAAAGAGCGAAATACGACCTCGAGCTATATTTCGACGATAAGTCCACCACGTAATAGTCGTTTCTCTCTCGGATAAAAGTCGACGACGTCGGCGAGCAATTTTTTTTTTATTAATAATACAAATCTTTTGTCTTTACCATGTCTTTACAGCTAAGAACCCCCGTTAATCTCTGAAGAAAAAAACAAAATGACTGCCATAGGCGAGGTGCAAGCCTTGCAGACTCTCACGGTGTACAAGAGCGACGTGAACAGCGTCGACTTCGCCGGTGATTGCGTACTGGTGACGGGATCCGGGTAAAATATTTATTTATTGGTTATCAATATTGCGCGAGATTCCACAATACGAAACAAGCTCTCTCTCTCTCTCTCTCTCTCTGTTTCTCTCTGTGTATTTAAGCGATCGCGTCTCTCCCTCTTTTAACGCTTGTGTTCCGCAGAGACAAACGCGTCCGGGTCTGGGAATGGCAGCCCGGCAGCGGCTACGTGGAGGCTTACTTCTCGCCGCTGACAGGCCACAAGTACGGCGTGACCTCCGTCAGGGTCAGCCCGCAGTCCACCATGCTGGCCACCTCCAGCATAGACGGCACCACGTTGCTTTGGAACCTGCGTGTAGGTGTTTACTGAAACACAAAATTGAAAGATAATTAAGGAGGCAAAACCCCCGCCGCGATTGTTAGTTTCCATACAACAATCGAATGAATTTTTTATTGACGTGTGTGTTAGGTAAACAAAGTTAAACAGCGCTATAGTCTTGTAATTGCCTTGTTATAACAGAAAGGTAAGTACGCGGTAAAGAAAGTATAGACTATGTCATTAGTCGTTTCAGAGTAAACAGCCTGTATATATAAAGAGTATTGTCATCAATTATATTTTCAATTTTTATTTGTGAAAGTTGATTTTTTCTATCCAAGACGGGAACGAAGATACACACGATGGTGCAAGTGGGCGGCGAAGCGGTGAGAGTCTGCAGATTCTCGCCGGATTCGACGTTGCTCGCGACCGCTGGCGACAACGGTCAAGTCTGTATTTGGGATCTGGTTCATCGCACTTTGATCAGGCAAGATATTTTTGAAAAATCACAGTCATCTTCCGATTCGAAGCAAAAATTGATACAAGCTCGGAGAATTTTGAATGAAACCTATCTATTAAGTTAATATTTTCAATCGTTTTCATTTTTTTTTTAATTGCATTTTGATTGAATCGTTATATAAGAGCCGCGCATTACCTCCGCAGGTGCTTTCAAAAGCACGAGGGCGCTGTGCAAAGTTTATCCTTTTCGCCGGACTCCAGTTGGTTGGTCACCTCGTGCACACTGGGTGTTCTGAAGTTGTTCTCCACTGCCGATCTGATTGACACCTGTACGTCCGCCAATCAGAATGTCACGGAACTCGCCTCGATCGACGACGCTCACGACATGGGTGTGGTTTGCTGCGACTTTTCGAATTTCCAAGAAGTAACATGTAAGCGTAACATCAAACGCACCAAAACGTTTATCTGAACGTTATTGTAAACGTGAATACATAATTATCGTAAATAACAATTTTTATACAATACAAGGTAACGAGCCGTACACCAAGCTTTATCAATTGGTATCGTGCGGCAACGATCACAATGTGAAACTGTGGGAAGTGACGGTGAGTCAGAATAAGTGCGAGGCCGAACCGTCTACTGCCACTTTACAGCTTTGCAAAGTGATGGAAAAGCACAGCAGTGCCTTAACTTGCGTCCGTTTCAGCAGCAACGGATTATACATTGCCAGTTGTGGCCTCGACAAAACGGCAGTAATTTGGGAAACGGTGAGAGAATTGGCCTCGAAGAAAAATTCAAACCAGCGATCAGTTTCGATGAAATCCTTCTATAATTTCCATCCAATCTATTTTCAGAGCTCAGGAAAGGTCGTGACGATAATCTCCGGTCATAACAGATACGTCGCTTGCTGCGCTTTTTCGCGCGACGGAAGCTTATTGGCAACAGGTGCGATATATTTTGTTACGTCGCGACCAAATTAAATAAAAAACAATACGCGCCGCACGAAGAAGCTGATCGATGTAATTGCAGGTTCTAACGACAAATCGGTGATAGTGTGGGATTTGGCGGGAAATCTGACTGTCGACTCGGAACTCTCGAGAAACGTCGGGACGAAGTGGTTTGTGAACGATCCTGAAAGAGTAAGTAACGTGAATTGTGATGATACGCTCTGTAAAAACAAGTAACAATATTCCGCGGAATTTAATACACCGAAAAAATTATATTCTCGTAAGTAGAAGATTTTATACTTAAAAAATCTTCTTAAAGATTTTAGATATGATATTCTTCTGAAATTAAGAATATATTCTTTGTTTAAGAATATAGTCTTTTTCGATAGTGAGATATATATGTTTTTCTACAGAGGCTTTTTATATTCTAATCAGTATATATTCTTATCAATATTACTATTTAGAGNATTTTNCTCTTAAAATAAGAAACTCTTCTTGNCGCCTATTTTAGTATAAAATATACTTAAAGTAAGTGGGATATCTCCTCAAAACAAGAATACAATTTTTTCGGTGTACGTGTATATATATATATACCAAAAAAATTATATTTTTGTAAGTAGAAGATTTTATACTTAAAAAATCTTAAAGATTTTAGATGATATTCTTCTGAAATTAAGAATATATTCTTTAAGAATATAGTCTTTTTCGATAGTGAGATATATATGTTTTTCTATAGAGGCTTTTTATATTCTAATCAATATATATTCTTATCAATATTACTATTTAGAGAATTTTCCTCTTAAAATAAGAAACTCTTCTTGGCGCCTATTTTAGTATAAAATATACTTAAAGTAAGTGGGATATCTCCTCAAAACAAGAATACAATTTTTTCGGTGTAACTTTATAAAAAGTAATTTATCACTTTTAAGCATCGCGTTTGAGAGTTTGTAAAACTAATAAAATTGCTACTTGTTTATACCTGTGTCAACTTGTACTTGATTCAAAAATTACTTACACCGAAAAAATCATATTCTTGTAAGTAGATTTTATACTTAAAAAATCTTCTTAAACATTTTAGATGATATTCTTCTGAAATTAAGAATATATTCTTTATTTTTAAGAATATATTCTTAATTAAAGAATATAGTCTTTTTCGATAGTGAGATATATATGTTTTTCTATAGAGGCTTTTTATATTCTAATCAGTATATATTCTTATCAATATTACTATTTGGAGGATTTTCCTCTTAAAATAAGAAACTCTTCTTGACGCCTATTTTAGTATAAAATATACTTAAAGTAAGTGGGATATCCTCAAAACAAGAATACAATTTTTTCGGTGATAGGTTTCCATGCACGAACACAATGTGATGAGAAACGTCGAGACTTACGCGAACGAAGTGCGATTGATTCAAAGACTGGAGGATCACAACGGAGCGGTGAACAGCGTCGCCTTCCATGGAAATACTCTTCTAGCCTCGGCATCGGGGTAAATAAAAAAAAAAAAAAAACTATATACAGAGTGTCCGAAAAAAATTTTGACACAAAGACAGATTTTTGCCACTTTTCTGTTCAAATTGACCCGATCCTCACATTTCGACTGTGTTCGAAATTGTTCAAACACCTTGTACATCGACGCGAAACGTAACTGTGAATTGAACGTAACGAGATTTTTCGCTTTTAGCGATAAATTGGTGCGCATTTGGAGTGTGCAAACGGATGAGGAAGACGGGGAAGAGGTGATTAAGATACAGGAAAAGCCGTTCAGTCCGCTTGACGCTCACACTTACAGCGTCAACTACGTAGAATTTAGTCCGTGCGGCTCGATGCTCGCTTCCTGTTCCCTCGACGGAACGACTTTGGTCTGGAATACGGAGGTAAAATTATTGTATCGGGGAATAGCACAGGAGTTTGTAAAAGTAATTTTAACTATATATATGTTCGTATCTTTTCTTCGCAGATCGGAGGCCAAGCGAAGTCCTCCTTCGTGAATTCGGGAACGGGCATCCGCGTGTGTCGCTGGTCACCGGACGGCATGAAAATCGCCACCGCCGGCGACGACGAGAAGACAACGTTATGGGACGTCGAGACGATGGAGCAATTGCAGTATGTGTTTTACAGCAGGAATTAGAACACAAATCGAATGTCGGGGAAATTTAATTATTTCACACATTCACGGAAACGAGTAGTAAAAATTCTAGTGTTGAACTTAATTTTCCGCGCGAAAATTAAAAAAAAATTCCGCGTCTGAGTAAAAAAAAAAAAGAGACACAATTTCGCATATCTAATAAGCTAGCTGTTTGCTTGTAGATAGTTAACGATAATCGTTAGGCAACGTTACAGCGTTTTCGAGGGTCATTCCGACGCGATATCGGCCATCGCGTTCACCCACGATTCTCGATACCTGGTGACCGCGTGCAACGAGGGAACTTGGCGTCTCTTCGACACTCTGGACGAGAAGAACGGCAGCGAGGCGTTGTTGATTTGCGACGCGAGTCACGATCTGGGCGTGCAGGGATGCGATTTCAGCCCTACCGCTAGTTCCGTAATGCGCAGTACGTAATAATGTGCACAGAAAAAAGAAATTTTATTTATTTATTTTACGCGCGCTTGCTTGCGGAGTTATTCTCGGTAAAAGAAAAGCTAGTGTGGTTGCACACGCGCGTAAACAAATAATCGCATACAAGCGATAATAAATATCGTTTCGCTTTTTGCAGCGAGAGACGCGGATATGAATGTCGACGAGCAGATGTATCTACTGGCCACGTGCGGCAACGACTCGTTGGTTAAGCTGTGGCACGTGATTATTACTTCGAACGAACCACCGCCCGATTCGGACAGCATTGGTTCGAGCGATACCGGAACACGTTACAAGGAAAAGAAGTCACTGACCGGGCACGGCGGAAACGTCATGTGCGTTCGTTTCTCGCCCGTTCACGGAGAAGTTTTGGGTAGCGTCGCGACAGACAGAACAGCTCGCATATGGAGCGTGGTGAGCACGCAAGAAGATGATCGCGCTTGATATTTTCTCGAAGGAAGTTTTTTTGTCCAATTGCAATTTTTTTTCAGTTTTCCGGGACCTGCCTGTACGTGTTGGAGGATCACGACAGTCTCGTCACGTCTTGCGCGTTTTCCGAGGACACATCTCTCTTTGCTACAGGTGTGTGTGTGTGTGAATAACTTTTTTTTTTAAGTTTAACCCTCAACGGACGGCGTGTTTTTCGGCACCTTAATTCGCCGGACATGGGTCGTTTTCGTCTTGGGCTTTTTAAAAATATTAAATATTTCTAAAAAATCTGAAACAACGTGTATATACTCTTTAAACTGTCTATTTTAAGACACCGTCATTAAATTTAGTGAAAAAAAAAGTTTTAATTCATAATTTTTAGCAAATATGACATCAAAGAAAATTACTTTCTTCAAAAAGTAATTTTGCTTCAGACGAAAACGACCCATGTCCGTCCGTTGAGGGTTAACGAACATTTATTTGAAGTGTCGTAATTCTTTCTCTTTGTATAAAAAGTTTATAAACAATTAAGACTTAAGGCTCGTTGAAATTGTCAACAAGAAATATATAAGGCTTTACGAGCCATTCGCAGAATGTTTGTGTGGAAACTGTGCGTGTACATATATATACAGAGAGAAATCTGAGAGCGGCCATCCTATTGTAATTTTTTACGACGGTTTCAGCCGCTGGTTTTAGCCGTATTTCCACAAAAGTGGAACTCAAAGGCCGTTCTACATTAAACGCAAGTGCAAATCTCGTGGAATTGACCAATTGCAGAGTCAAATCAGCCAATCGACCAACGTGATTGATCAGTTCTACGAGATCTGCGACTTGCGTTTAATGTAGAACGGCCTTTGAGTTCCACTTTTGTGGAAATACGGCTAAAACCAGCGGCTGAAACCGTCGTAAAAAATTACAATAGGATGGCCGCTCTCAGGTTTCTCTCTGATATATATATATATATATATACATGTAACGAATTCTACTTGTAAATTTTTGAGTGTTTTTTTGGATAGAAATCTCAATTCTTAAAATCATATGTGAGATTTCATATGTGAGATGCAAATCCAGCATCCTGTATGAATTTAAGAATTGAGATTTCAATTCAAAAAAACACTCACTTGTAAAAATTTACAAGTAGAATTCGTTACATGTATATATATATATATATATATATGTACACGCACAGTTTCCGCACAAACATCCTGCGAATGGCTCGTAAGGCTTTATATATTTCTTGTTAAAAAGTTTATATTCTGTATAAAAATTTATATAATAATTTTTTTCTTAAGGAGCGTTGGATAAGACCGTCTTAGTTTGGAAGGTGCCTCAGCAACTCGTGTCGCAAAGTAATTTGATAGACAGCCTGAGAAACAAGAAGAAGAGAGTCAGTAACGTTTTTAAAACGAACAAATATTGCGGAATGACGTATCAATACGTATATTGAATTATCTTTGTTGAATGATATTTTTTCGTCGCTTTAGGTTGCAGATTGGAAGGTTCACGACACCCTGAAGTGGTTGAACGACATCGGACTGTCGAGATTGTTGAGAAAAGTGCTTCCTCTGGGATTAACTGGACGACACTTGTTGTCCGTGTCGGAGAACGAGTTGATATCTCGATTGGAGATTGAAGAAGACGAAGAGGTATTCGAGATACCTTTTATCTGGGTCGTAAACTAAGCTTGTTGTGTTAAAAATATCATTTTTTACAGGCGATGCAGACCCTGAAAAAGCAATTGTACTGGCTGAAGCGCGAAGATTGCAACACTATGGAAAATATAGACGAGTCCGAAATCCCGCACGAATTTTTGTGTCCCATAACACACGAGATAATGAAAGAACCCGTACAGTGTTCTGGTAAGAAAAAAAACAATTACGATAGAGATCTATTTGTCAAAGAGACGCGTCGCGAGATGTTCGCGACAATGACAACGGTTTTATGTTAACAAAAAAATAATCTAATTAATTATCTTCAGACGGATTTACTTACGAAAGAGCGGCTATAAACGAGTGGTTCCTGTGCGGAAAGTACACCAGTCCGATGACGAACGAGCCGTTGCACGACACCTCTTTCACCCCGAACTTCGCTCTCAGAAACGCTATTCTCACTCTGCTCCACGGAGAAGGGCCGCAATAGTAACCGGCCGTTGTGTCACTGGACAAAAAAAAAAAAAAAATGAAATATTTCACGCACGTGCGTCACTAATTTGCGACACAAGCAATTTTATTCTCTTTGAGATAAAAAAAAAAAAATTAAGACGCTTAAACCGACTCGGCGGTTTTCATCAACGTGTACTTCGTTTCACGAGAATCAACTCGAAAAATTTTGAACGTCGATCGCGGACCAATTAGGCGTGCGTTATGAAAAGGTATATACGTGTGTGTAACACATCTATGTAGTAGATTGATTTTACAATTAAACCGCCGAAAAGACTTTTGCCGTCGAAAAGGACTGAAACTGAGTCCCTAAAAACCAGTTCGTAGATTTTGTCGACTTTTGTTAGCTTGGCTAATGCGATAGCTTGGCTAATGCGACACACACACACACACACAACTAACTGACGAGAAGAGTCGAACGATTTCGATATGACGAAGCAATGAATTTCGCACGCGAAATGTGTCACTCGACGCAGCGCGCGTACTCGCAATCTGATCCAGATACCTGATGCAAAGAAACAAGTACAAGTTAACGAAAAATTAATGGACAATCTTTTGAAATTACAGATAGCAAAGACGCTGATCTAAAAAAATCGTATCAAATACATTTCAGAGTAGTAAGTCGAACGTAATACGTGTAATTATTATAGATTACATATGTATAGACACAAACATATCGAGTGGACACACATGAGAACTTTGTATATTCGATTCTAAGAGTAATAACATAATTGCTTGATTCCAACGCGCAATTGAATCAAGCGCACGTTTTTCGCGCGACGGTGACGTTGCGCTCCTTCGTCGCTCTCACTCTGTTTTTTACTTTTTTTTTTGCATCTTCTTTGTTAAAACACTTTTTTATAACACGCGTTTCTTTGATCGGAAGATTGTGTGATTCCGTGTGTCACACGGCGCGTGGAGTTTTTACACGAGATTCTCGAACAAATTGATAACAAAGCAAAGTAGATCTAATCTCGAAATATTTGTAACGTAAGAATCTATTCACGACAGGGTCGCATAAACTTTGCATCGGGGAGAAGAAATTCAGAATTATTATTTCATCGTCGAGCGAAAAACGCGATTTCTCTCCCGAATTTCGTTCGCAATGTTGTTTTATCGTTTGAAATGATTCCGAGAATGATTTCTATCGCGATGCAAAGTTGCAATATCGAGACTTTAAAGAGGTCTGAGAAAAAAAAACATCAATTTATTACATTATTATGGGGATAGTAAGTAACATGACCTTTGTGCAAATACGTTTTAGAGTGAATATGCTGCTCATACAGTAGCATAGAGCTATCTGTGCCTAACGTTAATTAACAACCACCGGAGTTGTCGTGATTTTTGACGGTTAATGAGAAAAAAAAAAAAACTCGATTTTTCATCGACTGGTTTTTAATCGTGTCTGTTGTACATTCGTTTTCTCTCTAATGTATTTTTTGAGATTCATTGAAGATACGTTAAGATATATATATATATATACATACGTTAAGATGTAAAATAATGTTTACGTTAATGTTATTCTCTCTTTAAGAAAAATATATCTAAAAAAATACAAAAGTTAATTAATTTTTGACGTTCTTTTGTCATTTCAGCAGCTAATAATCTAAGAGAAAAAATGTTTGTTCTTTAACTCTCTCGCTACCTACATACGTCGCTCGACGCTCACGTTTTTCCAGACAACACTAGAATGCGCGCACCGAAAAAATAGTATTCTTGTTTTGAGGATATCCCACTTACTTTAAGTATATTTTATACTAAAATAGGCGCCAAGAAGAGTTTCTTATTTTAAGAGGAAAATCCTCTAAATAGTAATATTGATAAGAATATATACTGATTAGAATATAAAAAG